GTACCAAGATGAAAACTCTTCAACGCGCCCGATGGAAGCAAACATTGACGCCCATGGTGTTTATTGTATCAAGGGCAGAAAATGGATTCCCGATCAAGCTGACGAACTCCAGCTACGACTTCTTATCGTCGCGCATTGTGGTACCTCAGGTCATCGCGGTGCCGAAGCAACTGCAGACGTCCTCCGCGAAGAATTCAATTGGTCTACAATGGAAAGTGACTCTCGTGCATTCGTGTCTGACTGTATCCATTGCGTCATGGCTAAGACCGGCGACAGAATCCCTCGTCCTTTCGCATCCACACTTCATGCAACGAGACCCAATGAAGTCGTGCATTTCGACTACTTGTACATGGGGCCGAGCTCTTCAGGTGAAAAGTACATACTGGTTATCAAAGACGATCTCAGCAGCTACCTCTGGCTCTTACCAACTACAAACGCCAACGCAGGGTTCGCAGCAAAATCATTGGCTCGGTGGATCCGAACATTCACCGCCATGATCGTTTGGGTGAGTGACCGGGGTACCCATTTCAAGAACGAAGTCATGACCCTACTGGCGGAAGACTACCGCATTACGCAAACTTTTACGACGGCATACTCCCCGTGGTCAAACGGAACCGTTGAAGCCGCCAATAGAAACGTCATGGCAGCTTGTCGCTCTCTTACTACCGAACTAAAGCTTGGCCCGCATGACTGGCCCGAACTGGTGCCTATTTTGGAGTCCATCATCAATGAATCCCCAACCACTAGGCTCGGTAAACGACCTGATGGTGTATCCTACTCACCGCTCGAAGTCATGACCGGCATACCCCCTCGCCGTGAGCTACTCCGCGGCAACCATTTGCGAAATGGCAGGGTCGAACGTCTCGCCCTCGACCGCATCCGTGCCCAACAAGTGACTTCTATATCAAAGCTACAATGTACCCTTCACGCCATGCACAAGGTGGTGAACAACGCTGTGTCAAAAAACCGAGCTCGACAGCTACGCTTTCACAACATGCGCACCAACATCATTGAACCAAACTTTTCCCCGGGTGATTTCGTCTTAGTACGCCGAGGGCAGAACAAAGGGCATAAGATGAACTTCCGCTGGATGGGGCCGCGTCGAATTCTCGAACCCGTGAGCGAACTAGTCTACAAAGTGGCCAAGCTCGACGGTTCTTCTGTTGAGCAAGTGCACGCCGCGAGATTACGCCTCTACCGCTCTAGCCACGAAAACAAGCCAGTATCTTCGGAACTCATGGAACTAGCCGAAAGGACGGAAGCTGTGTACGAACTCATTGAACGGGTTGTCGATATTGGTGAGGATAGCCATGGGATCCACTTACGAGTCCAATGGCTTGGCCTCCCGGACGAGCGCGATTGGACCTGGGTTCCCCTCATGACAATGAATGAAGACGCCCCCGCTATGCTCTCAGAATTTCTCTCTACTTTCAAGCGCAAAAAGAGCTTGATGACAAAGGCAAAGCAGTGTATCCTCCAAAACAAGTGACCTCACTACTTCGTCGCAAGCTCAGGGGCCGTGTAGACAGTTACACTGCCACAAATCGACACCAGTGACTTGCGCACGACAGAAGGCGAAACGCAAGTCACTGACAGGAGAAAAAGATAAATTCACCGACACAAGCCGAGACACAAACCGAGAGGAAACGAAGCGAAACACTGGCAGCAGCGAAATCAGCTTCGAGCAACCAAAGCCTTCAGACTATAAGTAGCTAACTTGTAGGAGTAGAACGAGATATAGGGCCGAACTCAGAAGTAAACTCTCCTCTCAACACCAGTGGCCGACCACCCGAGTTCGACCACTACCCGGACGCTGTCCGTACCTCCGCACCCCTACCTTTCAGGGTACAGTTGTCTCCAGTACACACCCGCCCGGATATTGCGTGCGGCGTTAATATGACAACGCAGGTCACCGAACCCTCTTTCGCTCATCGACACGTCGACGTTATCAACAAGATTGTCCGACACGTCCATCAGACCCCTACACGCGGCCTCGTGCAGCGCAAACTAGATCCGGACACCCTCTATCTCCGAGTCTACCCCGATGATTCGTTCGCCGATAACGAGGACCTCTCCACGCAATTGGGTTATCTCGTATTACTCTGCGACGCTCACAGTCACTGCAACGTATTACACTACAGCAGTCACAAGAGTAGGAGAGTGTTCAGGTCAGTTATGGGAGGCGAATTCTACGCATTAGCTGATGGAATGTATTTAGCGTTAACACTATGTCCCGATTTGGAGCAGATCGCGAACAAGGTTCTATCGTTAAAGATGTTTACTGACTCTCTCAGCTTCTTCGATGTAGTTACGAAGAACACAACCACCACGGAAAAACGCCTGATGATCGACGTCCACGCTGTCCGTGAGTCGTACGAGCGAATGGAAATCAGCGACGTCGCCTGGATACCATCTACATCTAATCCCGCGGACGCACTGACCAAGCTCCAGCCCAAAGCTGTATTAGACCGCATCCTCGACGAAGGTATCGTCGAGAATGACGAAACAATGGATCCCTCTCACCCAACCGCAAAGTGACGCAACTTTCACTTCTTTAAAAGGGGGACTGTAGAGGATACCCGGACACGGCAACCGAAAAGGATACCCCGGACACGGGGGACAAGAGTGACACGGAGGACAAGTGTACAGGTTAGTAAAAGGTCGCGTCCTTTAATACTTTAGTGTCGGTGGGAATCCATAGAAGATAGAACAGTAGTTAACCGCAGCTCCTCCACTCTGTGGAGAGAGAGACAGAGGTAGAGATGTCTCGAGAGGTTTCATCCACAAGGTAAAGGCAATCGCCACTGCAACACCTTGGACGCTCTCACCTTTGGCTCGGCGTTTAGCCCGTCTCGACTCCCGGGGTCGAAACGTTGAGCTCCTGCCAATCGGCAAAGCCAATCGGCACACTACAAGTGTGTTTCCACCACATTAATGAAGGTGAGAGCGTCCAAGGTGTTGCAGTGGCGACGAGTGATAGGTAACTTCCAGCCTTGGGCTCGACTGTGTAGAACGTTGTCTACATCGTCAGCGACTAACTTTTCGCGGTCCAGGACGTCAATACCCAGGAGGAGGGGTATCGACGCATCTAAAACGTCAGCGAATGCAACCCGATGTTGGATGCTTCAGTTGGAAGCTGAAGACTGTAGCCGATAGAGCCGATGGATACTTAAGGTAGCTTTGTTCTAGACGGTGTAGTTTGTAGACACAGAAGGTCAACATTTACATCAGCTTTAAGGTTCAGAAGGAACAACACAACGGCGGCAATGCCTCAACCATTAGCAGGCTCAACATGATGCTTTGACATCTCATGATGCTTTGACATCTTTGGCGCAAGCCTTGAGTCCTGCTGTTGCTAGAACATGGTCTTCTCGAAGTGTTCCACAACACTTACGAATGTAGAAACACTGTACTCGCCAAATAAATTGACCCTTTATTGTAGCTGGTTTCTTGACCCAAGTGGCTTTCCCAAGATCAAGCTCACAAGGGTCAAGAAACCAGCTACAATAAAGGGTCAATTTATTTGGCGAGTACAGTGTTTCTACATGGAATGCTGCAATTTTGCCGGTTTGGAAGGACCAGATCAAATCTGAATTCACGAAATGGAGGTTTTTGATTGGCTGAGGACAAAGAGAGCGGACTTGTGCAGCATCATTTCCATTTGGAAACCGCCAATTGGCGTCCAGAAGGGTGCATCATGGACCTGTCATGCCACAGTTCCTTTGAGAGGCCATTTTGTCTCACAAGCCCAAGCCCGCACATTCGATCTAACCTCCGCTTCCAGCGCTGAGCGATGCCTCAAAGAAGCAGCAAAACTATCCCGCAAAGCTGAGCTACACGCTCAATCTGTCGTTGCCGTACCTGCGAAAGCGCCGTTTACCAAAATGTACATCGATACCTCATCTCCACACATCCAGCCTTTCACAGGAAGTGGCCTCATCTAACCAATAACTTAATTCACAAAAAAACAGCAACACCGCTCATGACGACGTCTCCGAGTCTCGTCTCACCATCTCATTCCAGATATCCTTCAGCGCCTCAACTGAGATCGTACTCATTCCATCCACGCGTCCCTCCGGTCCATCTTCCAAGCTCCCATCCTCATTCAGCAAGCTCGAACTCGTCTCCCTCTCACCTCCCAGCTACCGCACCGACAGCCTGTCGGGACCACCGCCCATCGACCCCTCCGCCCTCACACTCCATAGCTCCGTGCTGATAGACAACGACCTATCTCCGTCAGTTGCCCGCCGCCCGGTATCCTGTGACGAAATTGCAGCGGAGCTCGACGGCGCCTTTGTCGTCAGGGAGCTGCTCACCTGTGTAGTATCTGTCATGGTCCCCTCTGCGATGACGGAATCTATCTCCGGCGCGGACGCCGCGAAAGATCGATCGTCGTTTTCGTCGTAGCTGGATGCGTCCCCGCTATTACGTGGTTCCAGCTTTTCGAAAGAGCGAAGCTGAGTCTTCCGACTGCCCCGCAACGACGGTTCAGACCCCAGTCCGTCGCGACGGTCTTCTGTGAAGCGACGCGATCCAGACTCGAAGTTGAAAGCCATATCCTTTGGCTCGTCGTCGTCCGAGCTTGAAGATAGACTGTAGTTCTCCGAAAAGTAGTCGATTCCCATTGAGCCTTGTCGCGCCAAATCGTCATCACTTGTTGAATTCGCAGATCCGCCACGGCCAGAGATAACGCGTCCTATTCTGGTGTTCGACTATCCTTGGTGTTCGACCTGTTGGCAAGCGCGGCTAGTGTCAGAGCAGGACCGGACCCGACTCTGGCAGCTGAAGATGGCTGAGTACTTGACTCGCCTGCGCTCGCAGCCGTGCTAGCTGCAATAGCTTTTCGAGTCACGAGTCGTAGTCGAGGTATCGGTGGTTCCGCTTCTGTCGATCTATTGCTTGAAGTTTTTGTGAGAGCGCCGGCGGAGAACTTTCTTCGCAGCGCTTCTAATACTTTTGGTCGTTTTGTACTAGAAAGAGCTTGCAGAGCCGAAGAGTCAATGACAGTCTCCTCAGCGACGTGTTCGGACTCGGCATCGATCGACGCAAAGGCTGCCAGCAGCGTGTCGGCCTTGGCAAAATTGGTACCGCCATCGCCACCTCCGCCTCCCAAAAGGGAAGATAACGCATCTTGGCCACCGCATGAAGAGCTTCTCGACAAGAGTCTACTCGAGTTTGTCCTCGTCGACGGGACTGTGCCCAGTTGGCTATTCAGGCCATCTCGTGAACCACTTGCTTCCGACAAGTTTCGGAGCGAAGTCCGAATCTCCAACTTCTTCCAAGCTGCTTCCAAGTTAGCCTCATCTCTCGCGTTCTTGAACGCCACACTATCCAAGCTCGGTTGCACGCTCTTGTCGCCACCTTCGAGCACGGCGTCATAACAGTGTTGCTCGACGTTACTTTCCTTTCCCAGCGGCGACACATCAAAGGGAAGCCCAGTCTCCGAACATAGCCTCAAAATCGTCTCTGTGCACTTGCCTCACGTCACTGCGTCAACAACCGCCCGCAGCGCCGACCAAGGTGGCGAACGCATCGCAAGCAGGACGTCTGTATGCGGATCGCGGCTTGTGCGATGAGGAGCTTGGCGACGACGAGGCGCAATGTTGGCGACGGGTAGGCCACTAAGGTTACCTCGATTGGGAACTGTATCCCCCTTATTATACCCAAGGGTACAGAATGATGTCGGAAGGCCCCTCTGCAGATTCCAGATCATTGTCGATGAGCTGATCTCATCTCAAGATGATCTCGATATCTGATCAGATAAGATCATCTCACGACTTATCTAAATGAATCATAACGCGATTCGATCACCCATGCCTCCAGTGCATCCGAGCTTAAGGTCCACTGCCTCCCCAACCCAGTCTTTCTTCATCACGCACCCCCGCCATGCCGTCGTACCCTTATCCTCCCTCACCGTATTCCGCTGCATACTGGTCTCAATCTCAAGATCAAAATTACAGAATCAGTCTCCAGTTGCCCCCAACTCGCCCGCACGTTGTCTTCACCTATACGGGGCACACCAGTACGGACAACGTCTTCACTAACATCTTGCCAAACCGAACCTCTTTCGTCGCATGGGATTCTTTTGCCTCCGCTGTTCAACAAGCCAGGGATGACAATGCCGAACACAACACTAATTTGTCGTCTGAAGAATTGCTACAGGTGATGGTCGCATTCGTAGCCGCTCATAGAAACCTCACCAGGCAAGTGGAAATCACAGACGAGGCCTCTGTCTCCGGCCTCGTTTACGACGCCTATTGTTCCGTCGCAGAAATCCACGGACTTCTGGACAACGCGAATACAAGACTTCGAACCGCCCATCGCGCACAGTTACCTTCCGCCTTGTTTCGTTTCGGCGGTTCCCCAACAATCGACTTCGTTTTCATGGTTTCGGACCTCCTCCTCGCTGATGTCCGGTCTCGCCATCGCCTCGTGGCCGTTGAATTCAAAAGAGCCAGATTCCCGCTCACTGCCAGGGGTGTGGTACCCAACACCCCCGCCCATCTAGCTCAGCTACATAACACAGACTACAAAAGTGGCGCACCGGCGTGGTACATCAGAATGATGTCACAGGCTCTTACATATGCGATGCACACCAAGAACGGATGTGTTATCGTAACAAATCACAACCACGCCATGTTCATGAAGGTTGAACCCACACAGAACCACACCGATATATGGAAGCTCCAGGTGAAGGTTTCCAAACTCTACAAATGCAACGCTCTGGCCAGCTCCTTCCACGCTGTTCTGGCCATTCTACGAAAGAGCATTGCGGCCGAAGATATATCCTCCTCCTTGAAAGACGCTTTCAGACAGTTGCAAGGTCAACGTCTCCCCGCTCGGCGTACTCGTAGTCAGACCAGATCTGCCACATTGCCCCGGAGAAGGTCCTTGAGGTCTGCGAGCCGTCGTTCTGGTTCTGGTTCTGCCTCTTCCACGGCGCCTCCTGTCCGTACAGTATATGACGCAACTCCTCAGCCTCAACATGTCGACTCTGCTGCTGAAACCGTGCTCGCGTCGCTCTACCAGCCACAGCTCATTCGCGAACTGATGGAAAGTTCTGACAACATCATCACGGCTGACGGACACTCAGCTGTCTTGCGTAGCCGGTACAATGAGCTGGACGTAGCCGTGAAGTATTGGAACTGCGCCACGAGGCTTGGTCTACGGATGCTATTGAACGAGATTGACGTGTACGAGGAAGTGGTGTCGAAACACTCACACTTGCTGGGCACAGTGTTGCCTCGCCTCGTTGCTCTTTGGAAGCAGCCGCCGACAGACGCTGTGATTGTCTCAGAATACGTCGGGGAAGCTTTGACAAGGCGGACTGACAGTTCCGCAAAAACGGAACTACTCCTTGGAAGCAAAGTGTTGGATACTAATGACTGTCGCCTCCTTCAAGATGCCGCTTTCGAGGCGCTTGAAAAGCTTCACAGCACTGGGCTGCGGCATAGGGACGTGCACGAAAGGAACATCAGAGCAACGCGTGAGGTGGGTGAACGGGGTGATGTCATATGGAAGGTATGGTTCATTGACCTTGGCCTTGCTTCCCTTTCCGGAAACTTGGATGAAGCCGCACAAGATGAAGATGAGCTCTGGAGGGCCACGTACTACAGTGGTCCCGCGCTATAAAAACCACCCCGTGCATTCGTCCTTGGAGTGTTTCTTATCAAGGCGTGTCTCTCAAAGCGCCGGCCAATCATATCTTCATTCTTTAATTTTTTCAAAAATGAAGAATGAATAGCGCTCGTACGCATTTTTGCTCCCAGATCTCATCCCTCGGACGAACCCCTGTGCCGCAGACCTCAGCGTGCCTCTTACCGAGGCGTGTTTAATAAAGATGGGTTTAATATCGCGGGACCACTGTGCTCGGGAAACGACGCGGAGTGACGAAAAGCTCGATCTCTGTAATGCACCGCTTTCCGATAACTACTGTAAGAACAAAACCTTGTTTTTGTCTCCTGCATAACTCCTTCGATGAAGCTGTCGACATCGACATCGACAGCTTCCTTAACTTTCCTTGCACATCCTTGTCTATCGTCCAGTGTGCTGCGCATGTAGCGCAAATAGACATGAAGCTGCCTTAGGGCTCAGTCAAACAAGCGGCAGAGAAATCTCACCAATTCACGGGCTTCACAAAGCGTAGCCCATTCTTGCCTGCGCGACTGTCCCGTCCTGATGGCCACAGTTGATCTTTTCTTTATCCACGTCTCCCCGTTAACTCGTGATAGGCCAGTAGCTCCGCAGCAAAGCATTTAGGGACCGAGCGCACACAATGGCCCACAACTCTGCATTTTGGAGATGTTCACTTATCTTCAACCTCTTGTCACATGCTCTAGTCTTTTGTGGTCAGCCGATAAAAACCTTTTTTGAGGGTGTTGGAGTATTTGCTTTAGTCGTGTTCTTTGCAGGTAAATACCGCAATGTCATTACGAGACAAGTGCTTTCACTTCACATTTCATGATCAAACTCAAATCACAGGCTTGCAACGAAATTTCTTAGTTTTGTGTCATTTTTCAGGATTTCGCGAATGACCGGGCACAGATTCGGACCTTGTGAGAAGCTACCAACACTAAGAATAATATAATCTCCTCCGCAGAAGCTTTTTTACGTGTTCATATATGTACAATCACAGTAAAGAAGGCCCGACGCCGAACTGATACCTTTCAAAATACCGACTGCGGTAAGAGTAGTCATCATGGTATCGAAGTTTGACTCTGTGTCCTATTTCGCTTTTGTCTCAAGTTCATTCTCGGTAGTAAAAGTGGCCCCGCCTTCGATGATACCCCTAGTAGCAACCCATTTCAGTGCTTTAATGGAGTTAGATTCGAACTCAGAGAGATCTGGCTCTCAGAAATCTATGCGGTTTGATTCCACAGTTGCGTTCGATATCGCGAAAAAGGATCTGGAAGTGGTACGTTAAGAACGGCAAGCGATTCCATGCGTTCTCTATTCAACTTTTCATCACAAAGCAATACTGACGAGAACTGTTTGCATACGCAGGAGGCTTCCCCAAACTGTGACATCCCGGAAATCGTGGCAGCGATTGAGAATGAGACCAATGTCAATATTTCGCGGATGGCAGAGTTTTTGCGTTCTGGTTCTGAATCGCAACGCGCAGTTATTCTTTTCGAGCTTGAGCACATGCTCGATATTTGCTTCGAAGAGACTATAAAATGCTTGCTTCCTGTCCTTTGTGATAGAATAGGTGACTAGTCCATCGAACTTCATATTTCCGCAGCCGAGGCTCTGGTCAATGTCATGCAAAAACCGATACCGAAGCGCATTTCAAAGCTTATATGCGAGGCAGCATTCCAAATCGTCACAAGATCAATGAGTAGTGACATCTTTGAAGCCTGGGGAGAGATAGTGTTCGTTGTCCTGCCGAATGTTCAGTGGGACGGCAACTACGAAATTTCTTCTGTAATCGCTATTCTCGATGACATCACTTTGTCCTCAGACGAAATTTGCAGAAAGCTCGTTGCTCGGGTACTAGGTTTTCTTTCAGCATGTTTGAGTATGGCTGAAATTGAGTCTTACGTGCTCAATCGGGCCTTGCATCTAGCAGATGACTCTGATACTGACGTTTGTTGCAGAGTCATCGGCATTCATTGGAGATGTGGTGGATATTGAAGTGGTCGAAAACAGTATTTGGCCAAAGCTTCTCTGCTTGCTCAGAGATCCTGACGCCAGAATACATGCCGCGACGCTAAGAACGATAGTTCATATCTTAGAAGCACACAGAGACAATTGTGAAACATCCCCGCTATTCAAAACGCTGCTACCCCCTGTTTTCATAACAGAATGCCGCTTTGCTCGTTGTGCAGCCGAAGAAGACCAAAGAGTAGTTGACGATGATACTTATCTGCTCTTGGAAATCTTTTCAGAGGTTTTCGGTCCTCTTTTGTTCGCGACACACCGCATCTTTGCAAATGAGAACGAGAAAGCGCATGCATTTGAGGCATTCCCCGCAATGTCAACATGCAACGGCCAATAGTTCGCAGATATTGCGCCTTCAACTTACCAGGCGTCGCAAGAAGTCTTCGGGAAGGCTATACATCTGAGATATAAGGGATTGTAGAGTTTTTGGCAAAGGATTCAGATCCTGAGACACGGTGGAATCTTGCGGCTGGAATCCACGAGACATGTCGAATTCTTATGGGAATCGGAACTGTCGATAACTTGTTTCAGACAGTGGTTTCCTTGCTCCAGGATAAGAATCCATTGGTCCGCATGAACACATTGGAGCACTTTCACGAGCTTTTGTCATCTTTGTCAGATGAAAATGATGTTTCGTCCATGAGGAAGCTGAGGCCAGTGTTTCAGAACCCGACATCGCTTTCAGAGGGAAAATGGAGGACGCAAGAATTACTTACCAAGCAACTTGAGAAAACCTCAAAGTTGGTACCCCCTGATTGCTTACGAGAAGACGTGCTTCCATTGCTGAGTTCGATGGCGGAGGAAAGTACATACTTAGTCAGGAAAGCAGCCATGCCAGCTATAGCAATAACTCTAGGTTGTCTTCCAAGTCCTGGTGCAAGAGAATTGGTAATGAAGGAATTCATTTCTGATTGGGCTGAAGGAGGAGTCTATTGGATGAGGACTGCATTCATTCAGGGGTCCGCATCGGCGGGACCTTTCAACGGCGTGGTCACGAGTGTATCATTTTCGGAGAGCGAGGACTCAGTTCTTGTGTCGGGAGAAAAGTTCTGTTCAGTCGTCTGTGCACTGCACTCATCTCGAAAACGCAAGCATGGGGACGATGCAAAAGTGACCGGCTTTGAACCGTACGCATTGAGGGTTGGTGACTCAACACTTGTTTCACGTGTGATTGGTGCATCCAGGATTGCGGTTGTACGCAGGCGTTGGGATCTGGTGCAATACTCTTCCTCCTTGCCGGATGCAATTCCCAAGAAGCCGTTCGGAAGTTAAGAATCATTTAAAGTGTTGTTAACAACATTAGGAACAAATGTTTTCGCCAAGTTGTTATATAGTACTCCTCTTATTCTTCGTATCGTGTCATTTGACTCTGAAGAGTCGAAGCGGTTTCCAACGCACGGTTTCCACATTCAAAGTCCCTTCGCGTTTTTGGAACACTTGAGTGATTGATACAGTATGTCATCTACCAATGTGCTGCAATCTGCAGGTTAAATTGCTCTACACCATCGTCTAAGGTACTTGTGGGGGAGATTTGGGGTACTGTACAGGGTACAGTACCCAGGAGTGGCCCCAGGACCAAAGCCTTCAAAAGATGATTTTATTGGTCTACGTGTACGCCAGGTGTACACGTGGACAATCTCCCTTTGAAGGGCGGCGGTCCTGGGAAGTGGAAGATGCTGGCGGCCCCTCTATAAGAGAAAGGGGCGCGCCGCGACACCCCGCGACAAGAGGGACAGAACATCAACAACACCCAGACCGACCCCCCTCTTGAAATAAACATCTCGCTTTTCTCTCTCCCCTACGAGCGCAGCCCCCCTTTTTAGCTGTCAACATGGTACTCTTGTGGAGGGGTGGCAAAGAAGACGGCTCCCTGTCACAGTTTGACGGGTCGAAGCCGGACGACGTTCACAAGTTCTTCTTCGTCTTCGAGAATGTTGCCACCTCTGGCAAGTCGGACGAAGAAAGGGCATCTGAACTCCTTCGCTACCTGGAGGGAGATGCATTCGACTTCCTTTATCAAGCCTTTGTCAAGAACGGAGATATCAGTGCAGATGGCTCCGACTACCAGAAGGTCAAGAAGGCCTTGGTCGAGCGGTTCGCCCCGGTTGAATCACCTGAAGATGTGATTTGGGATGCGATGGCCGCTCGCCTTTCTTTCGGGGATCTCAGTGGGTCCCTTCGAAACTCAGACCGTCTCTACGAGAAGGCGGGATTCAACGACGAAGCGAAGTTCGGACTGCTTCGCAACGCCGTGATGGAACATCTCAAGTTGGCCCAGTTTGCCATCTATCGAGGTGCGAAGACCTACAAGGCCCTATTCGATGCAATCATGGACTTCTGGTCTGATCGCTGCGCCTTTCAGGCGGCGGCGAACTCCTTGAGCAATTCGCGCTACCAGGGGTCAGAGAGCTCGCAAGTTATGTATGAGCCGAGAGGGCAAGGTGGGTCAAAAAGGGTCATGATGCGTTCAAAAGCTCCCTTATCTCCACTCGAGACGAAGGTTGACGCTTTAGCTGATCGACTAGCCGATATTTCCCTTATTATCAAGAAGAATCAGTCGAGGGATGACGCAACAGCATTCCGCCCCGCCCACGATCGTACTTGTTCTTATTGCAAACGACCGGGTCATGGCGCTAATAGATGCGATGCGAATCCGCATAGGGACACGAAATGCCCTCGCTGCGGAAAATTTGGTCATTCAGAGACAAGCTGTTGGGCTAGAATTGGTCCACAGAGGGGAGGTAGCAGTGCCTACCCTCTTAAGAAGACCCAGACGGATATTGCCGTGTCGGGTACACAGACGGGCTCCGCAGAAAACCAGGTGAGTGTTGTGACGCACGACGAACTCCCTGCTGATGAGAAGTTAGTGGCATCAGTCAACAGAAACGCCGATGGAGAGCCGGTGGCCAAGAAGCGAAAGGATGGTGGCGGCGAGCCAATCCCGTCCCTTCTCAACCCGCGTAATTACTGGACTCCGAACCACATGAGGAAACCTCCTAAGCCCGGCCGTCGAACAAGAAAGAAGAGGACAAGTAAGAAGAACGCCGTCCAAGAGCACTCGGGGAAGTACGACGTGGTTTCTTCCCTCGCGAACGACCCCTCTGGTTTGACGTTCGGTCAACTGATTCGAGGAGATGGCGACGAGGCTAAGAAAGAGATCCGTCGTTTGTTCAACAGTCGCCCTAGACGCCCC